TAGGCAATTTACATATGCTGTCCATTTAATTCTCAGAAAAATCCAGCATAGTAGGCACTATCCATACTTTACTATTGTGGCTACGGAGGCTCAGAGAAGCTAAGAGACTTGCCCACTGTCACACAGGGGTTAGTGCTGAGTTTCAAGAGACTGTTTTGCTGTCAAACTTATGCTTTCTCCAGGACACTACTCCACCGTGTTTGCAAAGGCACCAAGCAGAGCAAGAGAACGACATGCTTGGGGCCAGCTGGGAAGTGGTGTTTTTCATATTACGCCCCGTGCATGAAGGAGACAGAAGACAGTGCATGTACATGGTGGGAGAGACGGTCCACGGAAGTGGTTGTTTGTTTCAGAGGAGATGGGTTGACAGTTTTTTCCCCCTCTTTCAAGCTTATCAGACTGCTATCCCGTCGCCTTTTGACTTCCATTTTCTCTGGTAAGAAGTCATCTGTAATTCTTACTATTCCCCAGAATATGATGTTCATTTTCTATGGCTGCTTGGACGATTTTTTTTTAAACCATTGGTTTTCGGCAGCCGTGATAGGCAGCCTCTGAGCTGACCTCCAACGACCCCTGCTTCCTGGAGTTCTCTCCCTTGCGTGGTCCCCTCCCCTTGAGTGTGGGCTGGACCTACTGACTCACTTTTAATAGAAGACAGTAAAAGTGATGGAATGTCACTTTTGGTACTGGGTTGCAAAAAAACTGTGGCTTCCATCTCAAGCGTTCTCCCACTCACTTGCCCTGAGGAAAGTCAGCTGTGTACTGTGAGGTATCCTGGGTAGGGCTCACGTAGTAAGCTATGGAGGGAGCCCAACAGCCAGGGAGGAACTGTGGCCTGTGGACAGCAATATGAGTGAGCTTGGCAATGGGCGGCCCCCCCCCCGGTTAAGTCTTCGCATGAGACCGCCACCCTGGCCTGCAGTTTGATTGTAGCCTGCGAGAGACCTTGGGCCAGACACCCCAGTTCAGCTGTGTTGGATTGCTGACCCACAAAGACTGCAAGATGATAAATGCAAGTTGTTCTAGGCTGCTGGGTTTGGGGTAATTTGTTACATAGCAATGGATGGCTAACGCGGCGGCCCTGTGGGCTTTCATTGCGTCGGTGTGCTGACATCACAGCCTAATCTGGGCCCAGATTTCCTGCAGGTGCCCAGTTGCCATAGATGATCTTTGCTCCCTGTAGGCCCCAGAATCTAGGCAGACCGCGTCAAAAGTGTCATGGAAATGCAGCTTCACTTAGCATATAAATAGCTTGCAATTAATTTTTCTCCACAAGAGAACTTGTTACTGGAAGAGCTCTCGGGCCACTAACCCCACTGCCTAGCCCTTCACGGTATCAGACGAGGTCAGGAGTTTCCACAAAGAGCGTTGGCCCAACTTTCGGCTCAGCAAACCCTGATTTATTTTCCTGTGGAGTGAAGGCTCCTTACAGCAGGAGGGCTGTGGTGGCAAAGAGGGGTTGGACTTATTTTCCGAGGTTCCAAGAAGTCCCAACATTTCAGTTTCATTTAGGGAGAAACTAATCAGAGCCATGAAACCACGCCTGGACCGGCTCACTGGGTGGTGAGTTTCTTGTTAGTGGACATAAGCCCAAATACAGTGACCACTGATGAGGAAGGAGAGTCAGGCCAAGTTTGTTAATTTGACAAACATTTGTCGAATGCCTCTACGCTTCAGCTAGGAATTCTGTAAGTTACAGAAAAATTGGCTAACAGAGGCTTATACAAATAAGGAACTTGTTTTTCCTACCTAACAGACAATCTGGAGGTTGGTGATTCTTGGTCTTGATTCAGTGGCTCAAGGGTGGAAGAGTCAGAATCTCTCTGATTCTGACTTTGCTCGTGGTGGTGAGATGGCTGCCACAGCTCCAGACATCACATGTGTTCAAGGTAATAATCCCTGCTGCTGAGAAGAAACAGTATCAGCTGTGTCTATTTCTTTTCCCAGAGAGGAAAGTCGTCCCTAGAGACGAGCGATGTGCTGGCAAATCTTCAATTCCTGGCATTCTGGCGGAAAGGAGGAAGGAAGTCCTGACTTGTAGCAGTTGCCAATTTCTGTGGCACAAATTGTGCTACCACCTCTGATCTCCAGCTGCCAACGTGACATCGCTGGCTTTGGAAACGGGAAGAGACGCCAGCAGCACCCCATTCTACAGTCCTTCCAGCATCCAGTTACAGTAGATGCAAAATCCTCGGTAGCATGGGTAATTGTAAACTGTAGGAAAATAATCAGGAAGGAATGAATTATGAGTATTTATCATCTTTTTTTAATATAACTTTTAATTGTAAGTTTACGTAATTTAATTTTTAAGTAATGACTGTGTTTAACAACTTACTTCCAAAATTTCTGAACAAAGAGCAATCAGCTCTCACGGTCTGGTCCAAACCAGCCCCGGGACACAAATGCCAGAAACCTTGCAGCCACCTTCCACTATGTCTCACTGGCCAGGACACGGTCACATGGCCACCTTGGGCTATATGGGAGGATGGGAAGGCAAGAAACTATTCGGGGCTCTGTAATGGAACACGGCCAGGGCAGAGGGGGCCTGGAAGGACTGACCGGTCTGCCTGCAACCAGTTGCCCTCGAACAAAAACGTGCTGGGCACAGCGATGAGAAAGACAGGCTCCATTTCTCTTCTCATGGGGCTTCCACACTATTGGCAAGAGAGAGATTTTAAACAAATAAGTATAATTGTGATGAATGCCAGAAAGAAGTACAGGGTGCTAAGAATGGGTCAACTGGGGAGGGAACCTAGTGTTAGATTTTTATTTTTTCATAACAAATAACCACAAGCGTAGCAGCTTAACACAACACACACATTTCTTAACTCAGTTTCTGTGCTTTGCCTCTGGCATATTTTAGCTGGGTCCTCTGCTCAGGGCCCCCCAGGCTTCATCAATGTTTTGGCCGGGCTGCATTCTCACCACTAGGAAGGAGTTCACTTCCAAGCTGGTTCCAGTTGACGCCAGGATTCAATTCTATGGGCCTGCGTGATTGCAGGCCCAGCTTTTTGCTGGTTGTCCACCAGAGGCTGCCCTTAGGTCCTACAGACCCTCCGCCAGGTGGGCTTCTCCAAAGGCCCCCTGACGGCACGCAGGCGACTGCTCCTCAGTCTGTAAGCAGAACCTCTCTCTCTGGTGTGTTAAGATGAATTCTTATGCTGTGTAACGTGTCCATGGGAGTGACAGCCCGTCACCTCTGCCACATTCTACCGGCTAGGAGCTGCCACAGGCTCAGCCTGCGCTCAAGGTCGAGGGGATGGCACGAGGGCGTGACTCATTGGGGGTCGCCTTGATGTGTGTCTGCCATAGCTGTACTTGGTGCAGGGGTGGCTCTGAAGCCTTCCTGGGGAAAGTGGCCTTTAGGGTGGGACTTGAAGGGTCAGTAGGAGTTGGCCAGGCACAGGGAGAAAAGCATGTCAGGCAGAGGGCAACGGTCCAAAGCCGGCAGCCTGGAGTGCTGTCCTTTGTCCTAACTACTTCCGTCCCTGAGATTCTGATTTCCTGAGCTCTGAGTACATGCCCCAACCACACTGGGGCCTGGCTGGGGAGACGTGGGGAGGCTTCTTATGTTCATGCAGGAATTTGTTTGGCAAGTCAGATTGGAAGCCAGGCTTTCAGTGGGGTGTGTGTGTGTGTGTGTGTGTGTTAGTGCATGTGTGTGCGTGTGTGTGTGCAGGGAGATGGGGCTTGGGTCCGCCCCGGTCACCGTCAAGACCTTACCCATTCATCCATCCCTCTACCAGCTTTCCCCGAGTGCCTTCAGGGCGCCAGGCCCTGTTCTGCACACAGAAATGAATCAGTCAGGCCCCTGCCTTGTCCTAGAAGGGTCACACTTCACCAGGGGTGGGGGACAGCCACTCAGACGGAAAACTCCAGCTGACGCTGTAAAGGGGAGGCAGTGCGTGCTGGGGGAGTGCAGGGAAGGGCTGCACAAGGGGGCGAGGGAAAGGACGCACTCAAGGACGCTTTCCGCCTGAGCAGCCCCGTGGATAGAGTGGCCATTTACTGAGAAAGAGAAGAATGTGGAGGAGCAGGTTGGGGGGCGGTGAATAAAGCACTTTGTTTTCCCAAGAGGTTTGCGATGCCTCCTGGGCGAGGTCTGGCCTGGAAATACGGATCTGGCAGTCACTCCAGTATGTGGATGCTGCTTAAAGCCTGGGAGAGCATGACTGGGAGAGCGTCTGTCGAATAGAAGCACATCTGGCCAGAGCCATGGGCCACCCTAACACCCCAACAGGAGAGGCAGAGAAGGGGTGGATGCTGGGCACTTGAAGAGGAGCAGCTAGTGAGACAGAGAAAAACCCTGACTGCCGGGTCAGACGATGCCGAAAGATCACCTACGATGAGGACAGAGGTTTTAAAGATGATTGGTGCTTGGGTATATGGGGGTGACAGGAAGGCATTTCAGGTTGGGAATAGCAAAACCACAAAAGCTTTGAGGTAGGAAGGGGAAACAGCCCGATTCTGGGCTCCTTTATCATGCGTTAGTGACCCCGAGAAATCTCCTGTCCTGCTTGACCCAGCTCCTTAAGGGACTGCCAAGTTTGCCTCTACTCCACTCCTAACCCACACCGTACGTGCTGCGAAAGTGTTTGTTGAATGAATAAAAGACGAACAAGTGAATGGGACTATCTGACTTGGAGCTACAGGTGATCTCGCTCCTTGGGCCTCAGTTTCCCCTTTCTGTAAAGCAGGCCAACCCTGCAAACCTGAGTCCTGGGTTTGGAAGGAGCACGCCCTGCTGGCTAGATCGCATGTGGTCCTTACGCTCGCCCTTCCCAGATGGGCCCCGATTGGACCGCGGATGAGGCGGCTATCAGTCCCGCCTCCCTGAGGAGCCCCGGCCCCGCCCCGCCCCTCCCCGCCCCGCCCCGGCGCGGCCCCGCCCCACCTCCCTTTGTTTCCCCGGCCCCGCCCCCTGCGCGCAGCTCCCTCCCCATTGGTCGGGGGGCGGGCCCTGAGCTCCGGGCACCGCCGGGGGCGGGGCGGAGGGGGCGGGGCGGGGCGAGTGCGCCTGCGCGGTGCCCGAGCCCGGCCGCAGCCCTGCGCCGGCGGCTGCTCCGCGCGGACCCGAGTCGGAGCGGGACTGCGACGGGCCGAGGCGGCGGCGAGGCGGCCCCGCCCCGGGGTTCCATTGTTGCGGCGGCCGCGGCTCTGCCGGCTCTCGGCTCCGCTCCACGGTCCCGGCGCCGCCGGCAGGGAGCGAGCGCTGCCGCAGAGGCGGGGAGGTGAGGCGGCGGTGGCGGGGCCGGGCGGGGGTCCCCGGCGAGGTCGGGGCCGGACGGGGGTCCCGGGGCCGGGTGCGGCCAAGGGGCCGGACGGGGGTCCCCGACGGGCAGGGGTTCGGGGGCCGGCGAGGTTTCCGGCCGGATGGGGATCCCGGGGTCGGATGGGAGTTCCAGGGGCCGGGGTGGGGGTCCCCGCCGGGTTGGCAGTCCGAGGGGGCGCCGCGGGGTCGCTGCCCGAGGTGACGGCCACCGCCCCAAGCGCCAGCGGGCCGGGCAGGGCCGGGGCTGAGCGCCCGCCGGCGCCCGGGCATTGTCTCGGCCTGGGGTGGCACCGAGGGGGCTCCGCGCCTGCTGCCACTCGGCGTGAACGACTCCTGGCCACCCTGAGAGGGGGCCACTGCCTCTGTCCCCACCCCCCCGTGGTGTGGCTGGTTCAGCGTGTCGCCGGGGTGGCTCTGCGTGGGCCCTCGCGCGTGGGGACTCCCGGACGCCCTGCGAGTGGGAGACTGTCTGTCCCCGCTCTCCCCACGGTGTGGCTGGTTCCTTGTGTCTCACGGAGGTGACTGCGTGGCCCCTCGATCGTGGGGTCCTGGTCACCCTGAGAGGGGGGCTCTTTCTCGCCACTCCCGCCCTGACTGGGCCACTGAGTGTGGTGTGTCACCGAGGGTGGCTCTGCGGGGCCCGCGCGCGTGGTGTCCTGGCCACTCTGCGAGTGGGGGGCTCTGCCCCGGTCCTCCCCTCTTGGCGTGGCGGGGTGTGACCCCGTCCTGGTCCCCCCACCGTGTGTGTGTGTTGGGGGGTTCCATGTGTGGGGGTCCTTGTGCGGGTCGTGCGCCCGTCGAGGGGTAGCGGGCTGTGCCGGGGGCGCAGTTGGCCTGGGAGGAACGCCGACCCGCTCTTTTATTTCTTGTCTTGTCTGCCGAGTGAGCAGAAGCAGGGAGCGGTGCCGCCGGGCTGCGCTTCCCCTGGACCCCGCCCCTCGCCCCGGCCCGTCCTCGGGTCCCCGGGGAGCGCGGGGCTGTCACCGCGCCCGGGGAGCGCGCGTCCGGCCGCCGCGTTTCCTGCTCCGGCGCGAGGCTCGCGGCGGGAGCCGGCGCCGATTGGAGGGCGCCCAGCTCCGCTGCCCGGCGCTTCTTGATTTCTTCCGTTAGGATCTGGAGGAAAAAAAAATCTGGAAAGCCAGATTTAACTTTGCAGCTCTCGGCGCCTGGAGAGTGGAGGAAACTCTCCCAAGAATTTGGCGGGCTGGAAAATGCGTTTGAAGGAGGAGAATCCACACCCACGCTATGAGGCCAAGGCAGTTAGAGTGAGAGGTCAGCTCTACGAGGGGACAGCAAGGGTGAGGTTGTGGGTGGGGAAAGTCCGATTGCAGCCTGAAGTCAGGACCCGGTGCGCTCTGCAGCCTGTGGATCTCTCAGCCACTTCAATAAAGTGGAATCATTCGTTTGCCCTTTCATCCAACTTTTTAAAACACTTATTATGTCCCAGGATGATTCTCTTCCCTGAGGGATGCTAATTGGAACAAGACAGTCTTTCCCTTTTACAAGTGTTCTGGTCCAAGACAGACGACTGAGCTGTAGGCACAAGTAGCTCTAACATCCAGACTGAAATTTTTGGGGAACAAGATGGAGTGTACGTAACAGGAGCACAGACAGGAATGCGTGAGGAGCACAGCTGTCGCTGTTATGAAGTCCAGACTGAGCCTGCCGCCCTGCCTTATCTGCCTTCTCCCCTGGCTCTTCCCCCACGCCCAGCTCCTGTCATTCCAGCTCCGCTTTCCCATTCCTGTGGTCTCAGTTTAGGTGACACTCTCTCTGGAGCCTTCCCTGAAATCCTTCTGTCCTGCCCTCTCAGAGCCGTGGTCTTCAGGACTGAGTGGTCAGCTGTGGTCCAGCTTGATAAATACTCTGGTGGACGTGGGCACAGTTGAGCTGAGAGCCAGGAAGGTGTATCTGAATGAGGTGCTTTTTCTGTACCACGGATCCAGGCGTTTCGTGTGATTTAAAATCTGCAGTCCTTCTCTTCTCCTGAGGGATTTTAGATTAATATTTGCTCTCACCCCCTGTGCTTGCTGCACAGTGTAGAGTACTTGGTTAGGATTTGTTGGGTCTCATTCTGCCTCTGGAATTAACTTATTCTTTGTTTCTGCAGTGCCACCCCTTCTGGGGTTTAATTTTCTCGCCTTTGAGGTTCTTACCTAGGTAAGAACCTTTGCAGTCCTAAACTTTCAATTCTTTCAACCAAATGTAGCAGAGGAAAGTTCTTTTAGTGTCCGTGGTATGAATACTGGAGGTTTTTGAAAATGTAGATTCTAAAGTGAAAGTTCTTTTTTCTTTTCAAAAAGTTTATTTGTGTGGGTGTGTACTTTGTCTCAGTTAAAGACCAGACTCCATGATGGAAACTTAAGCAAGCTTTTGATGGTGTCTTGCATATTCTTCGTCATTATGTCTTACTTGCAACATCTGTACTGTATCACATTGGCTTGATGTTTTCCTTAATGAAGTCGTTGGGTACAGAGCTCTCGTCAGGGGCGTGTCACTGATCTTTTGAGTGTCATGTGAAGTCAGCCAACTGTGGGCTTCTGTCCGTCCCGGGCTCTGACAGAGGTTTTATTCTGGGAAGTCTGAAATGAGAGCTTCGCGAGTGCCTTGAGTAGGTGTTCACGGCTTCGTACGGGGGTTTAAAGCACAGTGTAAAATGATTACTTGCAAAAAATTGCATCATACGTTGAATGGTCTATAAGGAAGCTCCACTTCTAAGGAATACAGGAATTAATCCGTCAAAATATGAATCTCCCTTCTAATTGGTCTGTTGGTGAGATGGGCATTTGGTGTGCCGATCTTCTTTGAGCCACGCGTCTCTGTCTGCGGTGAGCGGCCACTCACCTGCTATTTTGTCTGCTATTTTGTCTGCTATTCTTATCTGGGTGATCACAGGGATTAAAAATAGAGGATAGCTGTTTGGTCAAGTACTGATGCTACTGAACTACAATTTTTACTTAACGCAGTAGGGTTTTTGCCTTTATTTTGGTTTCCAGTCTTTTCTTAATTTTTTTAAAAATGCTTTGTTACATGTTCCAGTGGTCTGTTTTGTTAGGGATCTCATTTTAGGAGGGGACTTTAGAAACTCAGTTGGATTTTCTTTGTGGTTTTCTTAGATTGTGTTAATGTTTTCAGTGAGACTTCACTAGTTAATGCTTGCTCTGCATCGAGGGTCTTGTTTCAGTTGGAGCAGGCCTGACTTTTATAGGGACTAAATGAAAAGGGGTCTTTCATGGGAGGGAATGCCTGGGCATAGGGAAGACAGAGCTTGAATTCTGCATCTCCAGATTGTCTTCTTGCTCTTCACTGAAGGAAGACAGTAAACCTTGCTCTTCCCCAGGGCCCAAACAGAGAGCTTCATTCCTCCGTCACTGCAGTGCCCCTTGGTGTAATGTCATCGGTGTGGTGGCCTAGAGGTTTGATGTGGCTGTTAGCACACCCACACTCTAAAGAACTGGTGGTGCTTTCCTCTTTTTTAAGATTGTGATCTTCTATAAATCACCTTTTTCCTTTGCGTATTATTTACCTGGAACTGGAAGTTCGGAGATAAATTCTTAGACCATGAATCTGAGTTTTTGGTATTAGCGCCCTCTCCCCACCCCTCACCTGTTCCTTATTTTATACATGTCTGTTACTGTAGGCCACCTCAGAGCCTTTTTGGATGTTGACAGGATGTGAATATAAACAGTAGAGTAAAGGTCACTTAGTCCAGTTCCTGTGGACAGGAGACTTGCATTAGTAACCGGCCTGTCAGGGCTCTTGTTAAGTCCGGGCTCCTCTCTGAGCTTCAGTCCCCTCATCTGTAAGATGGAGTTGTTAGTAATGCCTGTTCTGTCTCGCTCAAGAGATTGTATTGAGGATGAAATGAAATAATGAATGGAATGGAATTTTGTAAGTTGTAAAATAGCATGTTGCCAAGGATTTTTAAAAAATGCTTCATTAGGAATTTAATGTGGGGGCTGGCCCCGTGGCCGAGTGGTTAAGTTCGCGCGCTCCACTGCAGGCGGCCCAGTGTTTCGTTGGTTTGAATCCTGGGCGTAGACATGGCACTGCTCATTAAACCACCTTGAGGTGGCGTCCCACATGCCACAACTAGAAGGACCCACAACTAAGAGTATACAACTATGTACCGGGGGGGGCTTTGGGGAGAAAAAGGAAAAATAAAATGTTAAAAAAAACAAATTGCACTTTAACAAAAAAAAGAATTTAATGAATCTGGGTTTCTCTTTAAAACTCAAAATGTTTAATATGCAGATGATCCTTAATTTGAGATATGTTAGGCAACTTCTTTTAGGGTTGTTTTCTGTCTTTAATTAGCCAATAATGTTTGATATTTTAGCATTTGGGGGAAACATCAAATTCAAGTTTCAGTTACCGTTAAGCGAGACGACTGAATGTGCCTAATTTAGTCTTTAACGTCTCTCCAGTTCCGTATGTTCCCGTGCACCGTCCTTTAATGAAGCATAATTTCTCAACATTTCAGTCCCTAAGTGGCCTGTCTTGAGGTTGGGAAAGGCAGGAGGCACTCTGAGGTCAAGGTCAGCAGAGCATTGCCTGTTCACGTCTGAAGTACCCAGCAGGAGCGGGCAGCAAGCACAGGGAACCCAGCTTCAGCACCAGGGCCGTCTGAAGTACCCAGCAGGAGCGGGCAGCAAGCACAGGGAACCCAGCTTCAGCACCAGGGCCGTCTGAAGTACCTAGCAGAGCGGGCAGCAAGCACAGGGAACCCAGCTTCAGCACCAGGGCCATCTGAAGTACCCAGCAGGAGCCGGCAGCAAGCACAGGGAACCCAGCTTCAGCACCAGGGCCGTTTCTAGCCCTCCTCCCCTCAGGCCTCTTGGGAAGCTGTTCGCGCAGAGTGTTTCCCATCCACAGGCAGCTCTGCTTTTCCCTTTTTCCCCCTCCTGCCTCTTCCTCCTCTCCACCAGCATCTTCCAGGCGCTGGCAGTGAGAGGAATA